TACTTTGTGTATGATTTTATAGTTGTTTACATTACTTGAGAGCTGTTTTGGTTTGTTTCGCGTGGAAAATGTATGTGCGGAGACAGTAAGTTAAAAATGTTAAAAAAGTTGCTAAACTTTGGAGTCGCAAAAAATCCTTTTGGTATATGTGTTTTCTATCTAAAAGGAACCTATTCACAAAGTTTCACCTAAATCTGAGCATGGACGTTTTCGGAAGTACAGCCTTCAATTTTGAATATATTCCTGCATCTTTGGGATATTTTGTCGTGAGATATTTTGCCAGGGGATATTTTGTCATGGGATATTTTGCCAGGGGATATTTTGCCATGAGATATATTGTCGCGGGATGTTCTGTCCGGGATATTTAGACGTGACACCACAATATTTATCACGGTATTTTTAATTTCTTTTACTCCTTTTTAGTTTAATCACTATGGATTTAGATTGAGTAAAATGTAACTAAATAATAAATTACTTTTTTCTAACTTTAAAAATTCGTCCCTAAAGAGTGGCCAAAAAATAAAAAAACGTTAATCTTTTCTCATATCTCATATCTTACTAAAGATTTTACCGAGACTTAAGAAAGAGAAGTAATTATGAAGAAGAAAACGAGGTAATTAAAAACCGGAAAAAGATCTCACAGTCCCTCGGTTGCCGGTCTTGTCGATCCGGTAATCGCATTAGAGACGGTAATTACGACACCGCTCGCAGTAACGTGAAACCCGTAGGTCGGGTAAAGTACTGGACAGGGTTATGCAGATTGCTTTATAACCTTGTTACCGATCACTCTATTAACCTTACGAGGTTGAAGTTCCAACCTTCTCACTAGCTTGCTCCTGTGTCAGAAGCCGGGCGACAACGAGAGACGAAGGGAGACGATAGTATCATCGTCTTCTTGTCTCACATTTACGATGTTCAATTATTGATACTGTCCTGATCTTTCATCGTCTTTTTAAAATCGTCATTAAGCAATCGCAGAATCCACAATATAAGTTCGCAAAACGTGACTTTTTTTTAGTCATACGAGATTTGATGTTTAATTTTGTGCTCCGAGACAGGACGCGCCTTGAGAAGATATTCTGAAGTGATGACGTCGAGAGAAAGAGCATTCTCCGGAAACAGATCCGGGTTTCCTGAAGTCACGCGAGAACTTCTGTCGTCTGCAATTCCATCTTTTGCGCCGACCCTCTCGATCCGACCGCGCTTTTGACGCGAACTCACCGAGAAAGATCGGTGCCAGAGACTGCGGATGACACGTGGAAATGAGGGCGTTTGTTCTATAGCCGCGGATCACGATCGGGAAATCCGGTGTTATGTGACTAAGGGATACCAGAAGTGTCTCCCGGTCACCTCGTCAACGAGTCTAAAGATTCCGTAAACGTATCTGGCAGGCGAATAATACCGCGGATATGCTTAATACGTTGATGTAGTGGTTATAGATGACCCGACAGTGTGATACTGACATCTGTCACATCGATTACGTACAAGGGTACAATTAATTAGTTTTCTTATCTTTCTTAAAATTGGAAATTTTAAAATGTCGATTACGCAATTTGTGATAACATTAATTAATGCTGATATTAATTAAACGGAACATAACATTCTTATTTAATGACACTTTATGCTAATAATATTGCTTAATTTTTATATTGTTTGAACATTGTACGAATAAATGCTCCAATGTTTTGCTTTTTTGAAACGATGAGGGTGTGGTTGAAAAGGTTGAAAAGTTTGGTAAAATGTCAAATGTTTTTTTTTATCTTGTAAGGCGGGAATGTAATTGATCGTATGCACGGATAAATTTAAAATATTAAATATTACGGCAGCTTATTATCAAAGAACAATATCATCATGCACACACAGATAATCTATTATAATTAATCATTCATATTAATTAATGTAATTCGGTGAAGTACAGTGCTTACCAAGCACATTACTTAAACGTGTAATACCGCAATATGAATTATTAATTAAACATTTAATAGCGTGATAACTCGTTTATATAGTCAATTAAATCCCCGCTTCCTACCGTTTCAAATAATTAGACCGCATTATGGAATAAACGAGATAATACGAACATTAATTAATTAATTTCCTGATAAAACAAAATTAGCTTCCATTTCTAGCGTTGCAAGACGATAGATAAAATCGTTTTAGTTTTATTCTTTGAAAAAATCTTTATCCCTCCCAATATCCACGAAGTCTATTTAAGGAGCGAGAACACAGTAACTCTTTCGCGCTTGCTGGCGTGTTACGTTAAGTGATAAAGCGCCGACGGCTATACGAATCGAGCGTAAGAATACTTCACCCAATAAATCGCGGCACGGACCGTAAAATAGCCATCGTATTTCTTACGATTAAGTCTACGTGATCAGATGATTCGCGCTCGGGAAGAAATAAATAGATGAACAGATGAGCAAAATTATATTATCGTCGCGTCTCTTTATCGACGTACCGATCTCTGAATTTATCAACGTGGATCTACGCGAGAGTACACTTATACGTCGTTCACCGTACCTACATTTATTTGTTTTAAATTTATATAATATATTTATGAAGACAATACTCACTCGAGATAGGTCGGTTCGGCCGGAGCGAGCGTTCTCCGGTCCTGTATCGCCGCTATCGTTGCTAGCCGTCGAGGCCGCGACCCGGCTGGCGAGGAGTGTCGGGACACCCCGATAGATACTGCACGGACGATTGAGAGCGATAAGGGCGCATTTCACCTCGCTCGTGCCGGCCTGGAGCCGTCGCTCTCTCTGCCCACCACCGTCTGCGTCTCCCGTGCTTCTTCGACGTCCTCTTCTTGATCCTCGAAAAGATCCAGAAGCCCCCAGCCGCCGACAGGGCGCATGGTCACTAGGTTTCCCGCTTTCCACCCCTTCGCACTTTGCGTCCTCGCTCTCCCTCATATTCTCTCTCTTGCTCGCTCCCTGTTCCTCCCTCTTTCTTTCTCCTGTTTCCACTCCCTGCCTTCTGGCTATACATTTCTCTCCCTTCATTGCACACACATGCGCATACAAAACGTTGACATACGCAGACACCCTTTCGCAACACGCATGATAATTTATTTTTATTCCCTTTGCGTTTCCTCTTCTGTTTCTAAAATAATAACTAAATTTATTTGTTATTGTGTCGCAATAACAATTTCTTCCAGTTTATTACTATAACTATTATCAGCGCATGGAGGATGCCTTCCATACACAAGTATTCTTTGTGTCTCAGCCATTGCGACACAACCACACGACGATGAACGAATGCACTCGTCGTCGGTTTCTCCCGTGTTCCTCTCGTTTCCGTTTGTTGTTCCTCCTCTCATTCCTCCCCACCCTCACAGCCGATGAGTTCCTCTTTCGCGTGGCCTATTTCGACATACTCTGGTCATTCGTCTCCCTCCATCGAAGCGACGCCCCCATATTGTTTCTGTATCATCCATTCCCTTGCGACCCACCCCTCCTCAAACCTGTCAATCTTTAACAGATTTGAAACTATCTGCAGCTATTCATTTTTTCTTATTCCGCGTCAATACAGGTCATCTTTGTTATAAAAATGAGTTATAATTTATGCGAAAACTAAAATAATTTGCTTTCATAATTTATTTTTACTGACATTGTTGAGTAGCGCAAATTCTTTCGCGAAAGGCTGTAAAAAGGAATAAGAGGTGAATCGTTTCATAATTTTTATCCTAAAGCGGAACAACGAACGTAATCAAGATTCCCCGACTATAGCCGCCTGGGAATGGCGCGATTCGCGCGGAATTTACTTCGAGGCTACAAAGGAATGCAAAGATCGCGAAGAATTCTCTATATGAGTCGTCAACGCCCATTCGGCTCTTTATTAAAACGGCTCTTATCGCATTCCAGAAACAAAGATAGCGCCGATATATTCCCTAGCCGTCATTGCGTCGCGTCGCCGTCTATTTTTGACATTTGTGAATCGACGTTCTGACAATTAAGAAGAAACACGAGACGGTTATTCTACCCTTCGAGTGTTGCGTTTGTTAAGGTAGGCAAATATAAACGAGCGAACCTCTTTCGTGTGACGGGCTTCCCGGCAAGTCGTTCTCGTTGCCAGTTTGCCACCTGTGGAGTCGAACGCGAAAGCAATATAGAAATTCCAGGCAAGAAGCGAATTCACTTGTTGATTTTAGGAAACTCCTGGGGAAAACACACGAGGTGCAACTTGTTGCTAAAGAAATCGCCGCTAATCGGTTTTAGCCTAAGGTTTTACACATAGATAGGTGGATGATTAACATCGAAATGAATCTGGTGAAGATTATTTTTAAAATTTTTTTTATTAGTTGTTCCATTTTTAAATATTGAATTTGTCAGCGCGAGCGTGAGAAGCGGCACGAATGCTCGGACTTGGAGATTTAGGTTCAGGCGATGGACAACGCGCAGAGACCAAGTCTGTCCGCAAAAACGGAAGACCGTTTCTTCATCAGCTGCGCGACAGATCGGCTCTGTCTTTGTCCGAATACGGCACGTAACTTGATATGTATCCGTGAACAATTAACTGCAAAAGTTACTCGCACGTACTAATTAACTGTTACTACAATCTCACGCACATCCAACCGGCTAGATGTAAATTAGATCTCATCGAATTCCGGTCGATTGTATAATGTTTTATAATGGTCTCCTCCGCGAAATTTGCACCGTGATATCGTGGCTCGCGTTTCTTCCTACTGCACGTTTCCTTCGTCTCGTTGAATCTCAGGAGCGACGGTTTCGACAAGTACCGTTGCGATCGCAATGTAAACTGAAAGTAAAATAAAAACATTAATGTTATTTTCTTTAATGCTGTTCCGCGTCCGTCCAGCAGCAGATTGAGACTCCCGAACGAACCTTAGGATTATCATCGAGATAACGAGAGCATCCAAATAGATCGAATTAATATTGCCTAGGGTCAGCTTCGTCAACGGTTTCCGCTATCTCAGTTAATGATCCTAGCGCTTACATTAGGGGCGGATAATTTAATCATTTATCATTATAATCTATAAATATTTTTTTTGATATCATATACTATGACGTGACATACAAAATCGCAGGTGATATTCTTTTAAATATATTTCCGTGGATTTTTGTATGTAAGAGTATTGAAACGTCCGTTTATTGTAAAGTACATTGTATAATTTGTAACCAAAAAGATCGGTATTTGCAAATGAGAGAAGAAATTGAAGCCCCCTAGGAGTCTGTTCCACTTTGGGGTTTATTAACTCTACAATCTTGATAATCAACTTGATTTGTGATTTATTTTATATTAAAGCTTCATTATTATTTATCTAATTTCATAAAAGGTGAATGATGACGAGGAGTAAACGACGATGTTCCTTACTCGTAATTCACATTATTCTGTCAGCCATAAAAGTTTGCACTCTCGTTACGTATCTTTCGGATACGTAAATAAAATAATCGAGCCATAGTTCACTTCTTTTCGTCGACTTGAATAAATCTTATGACTGAATCTTATAATCGGCTATCATTCAGTGATACCTATAAATAGAATAAAAGAATTATATTAGCGATTTGCTATTGCATCGTAATATTGACGTGATTGTACAAAATATCTGGCACAAAATCTCCAGCGCATATGCTATGCGAAAGTAAATGAGTTGAAAATATTGAATTGTCTTTGGATCTTTGAACTTTACAGGTTAAAAATTTAATTTTGCATTTTTTCTAATACTTCCCGATATCTTTTAATTTATTTATTTTTATAAAGCGTCAAGTTATCGATAATCTTCGATAAGTGGCATGGCAAATGCACGGGCGTCATCGAGCACAATAGGTGCCAAATAATGCATTGTACGGAAATGGAGAGAGGTGCTGCGAAAGTCTGGTCTCCCCCTCGGTGTATAGGGAGCAGGATTGAGAAAACGCGTAATTGAATGATGCACAACTCGGGTGCTCGATGAATAGAATTCAATGAGTCGACACTACCTGCAAATGCACGGGGACGTCGCGAGTTACGATCCGGGCCCGGCTTCTCGCCTGACGTCTTCGCCGCGAAGACGGTCGACGCAGTCTTGTCGGTAGTCGCGAATTTAATCTTCGAGATGAGGCAGCGGCTGCGGGGCGGTTTCATCCGTTCGAATGTTTCGTCCGTTCCGAGGGAACCAGGTTCTACTTGCGTCTCGCCCACGATTCGCCATTTCGCGTTGCAGCAAATAGATTCGTCGAATCCCACGTCAAACGTCGCGCAGAGACACGGGACGAAATAAAATACGAGAAAGCAAGGATTTAACCTATGTATGTCGCAAGAAACATCGCCGTTGTCCTTTCCGAGATGATATTTTTTACACGGAAAGCATATTTGTGTTGGAAAAGGGCAGAGCCCGTTTGGTTCGCGTCGCTTCTGCCTGCTGCGATTTTTTTTCAGATAGTTTGCCTATCGCGCGCGTTGCTCGTGGCAACTGGCAATCGATCTCGCAGCACGTGCTAATTCGCGAGAAGCTTTAACCGTTCAATGAGCTCAATTACGTCATCCCGCAAAATCATTAACCCTCCGTCATATGATCACATCCCCTCCGTCGGTCGCGGTGCGCGAACGAACATAATCAAGCGCAATACGTCAGTACGATATGGTTGGAGTTTAAGTGCGGTAAGATTTATATTTCTCTAGATTATGAAATAGGTTGGTCTTATATAGATAAGAATAAGTAATTTTATTTACAAAATAACGAAATGTGACATTACTAAAAATAACGGGAATAAGCTCATGTAAACTGATAACGCATTGAAAAGTAATGAAGCGAATTAGAAATTACAATTTCACTTTTAATTTTGACAATTAATATCTCGCTTTGCGAGACAGATCGCCGCGTTTATCTGCCAGATTCTTTCACTTCATGCAAATACGCGTCGATTGAACATTCATCTGTATTCGCGTTCAGGCTCGTATTCTAAATAAATACCGAAATTGTTTTAAGCAACGGATAGATTTCATTCAAATTGCACGTTTCTAAGTAGTTTCTAAGGCGTTTGAATTTTTTCGGCGACTCAGGGTCATGTTCCAAAACTCACTCTAGTTAACAAGCAGTTGCCTGTGTTGCTTGTCGTCACATGGTCGTGACAGAAGCCTCGCATTTATTCGCATTATCGTGCATATTGATGCGTAATTGTTTATTCGTTTCTCGCATACGTTATTCACGATCTGTCGATTGGTTCTGTTACGATTGGTTCTGACGCGTCCAGTGAGCTGATCTTTGATTTCTTCGGACGATCCGACGACGTGATGGCAGCGAAAGTACCAAAATCACCGTCAATGAAAAGTTATAGTGCCCGAGCCGATACCGGCCGGAGAGATTCTCAGGGACATAGCGAAGGGCCAGTGGATCCCCTCGGCAAGTCGATCGGCGTCGGCCGTTTCGGAGAGGTTTACTCTGCTGCACCATATTCTGAAAAAATTTCTAAAGATTATTCTAATGCTATAAAAATTGAACCACATGGAAATGGCCCGTTATTTGTAGAAATGCATTCCTATGATCAAGTCTATTTACTTGACTTTGGTTTAGCTTCTCGTTGTACATCGAGCACTGAATTAAAAGTTGACCAAAAGAAGGCACATAATGGTACTTTACAATACACAAGCAGAGATGCTCATATGGGAGTACCAACACGTCGTGGAGATATTGAAATTTTGAGTTACAATATAATCATGTGGTTATGTGGTTCGCGCTACCATGGGAAAAGTTACTTGAACTAGTTACCGTTCAAAAAAAAAAAAAAGAAAAAGCTTTCAATAATATAGACAGTTTCCTGGCTAAGTGTTTTTCATGGATCTGTTCCACAAACTGGTACATAAATTTATGACTTTATTAGCCAGCGTTTTGCATGACGTCAACATTTACCCGAAATGACAATTGATTCCACATTACATTACGCGATTTAATTCGAAGGGAGAAAAGTTGAATTTTTTTAATGAAAAGCGAAATTGATTTGCTCTCGACGGAGAGAGGGAGAAAGAAAGAAAGAGAGAGAGACGGACAAGCGCGCGTTGGGTCGCAATTTTTAATTTTTCAGGCGATAGCGGATGGCTTCCCACGCGTGAGATGATGTCGATTCGCCGCGGCGTGGCTCGACTTGACGCCGATGGATTTCATTAACTCGAAGAACCCGCGCTTCGTTCAACGTTGAACGAATGAACGACCGAGCGAACGGTGGTGGTATGCGAAGATGACAACGCGCGCTCTTGCGGTCGGTATCGTCCCGCAGAAAATCGTGGAATTTCTTTATTGTTCGCCACGGGATCGAGGGGTTCCGGGCTTTCCTTACCCCTCCAAAACGTCTTTCTTTCTCTCTCTCTCTTTCTCTCTCTCCCTCTCTCCTTCTCCCTCCCTCTCTCTCTCCGACCCTTCTCGCCCCGGCGCCCTATCTCTTGCCCGCCACTTTCTCGTACGAGACGACGCCGTCACCCGCAGATGCTGCTCTCCACTCTGCGCCGCTATAATTAATACGGCAGCGAACGTTCCGGGAAACGCAGTCTCGTAAGGTTAATTCAATTCGCGCGAAACGTAAGCGGTCTCCGGTTTTTCCCAAGGGGTGTATCCTCTAGGAAAGAATGCGAAAGACTTCGAAAGGACGTTTCTTGGTCGCGGCGAGGATGTCATGGCGAATTGAGACTTTAATCGCGTTTAACGCCGGAACACGCCATGGATAATTTTCTTCTTTTGCGAAATCTTGTTTTGCAACAAGATCCGCGATCTAGACGATCTCTAGTGAATCGTCGCTAGTATGTCTGAGACACTTTGTAAGATTGACACCGCTGTATGCTGTACGTCGTCGGGTGAGAATTAAGAAACCGGGTCTTCGCGAGTTACGTTTATGTGTTCTTCATCTTTATTTATAATCCGCGTGCGGGCAGCGGACTTTACGAAAAAGAATTGGATGGGATCCGGAATTGACCATCGGTCTTGGAAACACTCGCCGTCCTCATGAAAGGCAATGAGCTCGCGCGATATCCTACGAGCGAATCTACGAGCCTGTCGTTTATCTACCGCATCATTTCGCACGTTTCTCTTTTTTTCCTCTCCGTTTCTTCGTTTTCTTAAGTTCAATCTATGCGGCGCCCACTCTCTCGAGAGCTCTTATCCCGCCTTTTCCATCTCAAATTTTCGTAGATTCCATAAACGACATCTTCGATGCCCCCAAGTCCATATTATCTTGAATTATACCAATAAAAACTTTATACTGTTTACTAATAAAATAAGGCAGTGTGGTCTTGTGGTAAAGCGTCAGACTCGTAATCCCGAGGAACCGGGTTCAAGTTCACCTGATCACAGGAATTTTTATATTCCAAACTGCACCCCCCGCACGAGTGGGGCTCGTGCGGAGGAACTGGGCTATCTTTCGGATGTAGGATAAATTATATTAAATTTGAAATTGGTTGTCAAGCTTGGGGAGCTTGGGAGTTAAGTGAGAGGAGAAGGGTAGTAATGGATGAGAATTGTAACCCTAAGGGGATTGATTAAAACTTCCATTTACTCCATGCATCAATTGCTCGTTCACTCCTGTTCTCCAAAACAAGGATTAGCCTGTCTTATCTCTTGATTTTATCTGTTGTGGGGATCTTGTTGGATGTTATATATTCTGCGAAGGCTTTGGACTGCTACGTTCGTTTCCTCTGGAGTCCACGGCGGATAACGGCGGTTATCAAACGGTGAAGTCAAAATTTTTATGAATAACTACAAAATTTGACTCAAATCACACATGAAGCTGTTAAGAAAGACCGATCTATGCTGAAATACAGCGATAACTTAGAAATAGATAGTGACAGTCGTGATCAACGCTGCGTGATAGATAGTGATAGTGAAATATATATTGACGGCAGGGAGCTGATGCCGAGGAGATCTTTAAGAAGGAAAGCGAACCACACGCTCTGCTCGCGTCTGTAACGCACGCAGATGCGGCTCTCCTCGTCGTCATCGGTCTCGCGGTACATTTTCATTTCGCTGCTTCCGGTTTTTGGCTCCATTGCACCCAGCTCCGGCGTTGGTTGTCTGACTGGCGTGACCTCTCGGTCGGCTCCGGCCTCTGCTCCCTCGCATCAGAAATGCACTCCTGCTCGTTCGGCAGCAAGAGTACGAGCAAGAGGCACAATGCTCAACTATAAATATGAATATGTAGAAAATTAGATTTTTTTTGTGGATTTTTCTTTTTTAGTTGATGATGGTACATATGAATAATCGATGCGTTGAGCTATGCTTATTGCATAAATATAGTTTCTCGAGCAAAAGACGCAAGTCTCGTTCCGCGACAAAGCGGCTTTTATTGGCCGAAGAGTAAAGAAGCCACGTTTCTGCGAGAAGTTGCTAGGCTCGCTCGTTAGTACAGTTATATTGAAGACATTTTATTGCCCTCGCTATCGACTATCACGTCTTTCTCTTACCAGCCCGCAAATTTCATCGCTGAGAACTTCTTTTTAATAATTCTACAATTTTATGACGGCGACGCCAAAATTTTATGACGACGACGAGTCCCCTCGGTCTTGCCGGCCGAGAAGGAGCGCGCCGTCAATTTTTACTAAATGAATCGGTCAAAATAATAATTACTGGTATTAGATGTTAATAAGAATCACGGTAGCTCGACCAGGTACTTCCGCCAAAGCTCGAAATGGGCGCCAGGTGCGTACGTACGTACGTACTGAATTCGTCCAGCGGTCATCGCCACATTTTCTATAATATCTATATTGTTTCAAGAAATAAGAAATTATATCTATAGTACATGTAATATATTCAAATGTAAGAACAAGCAAGAAAGTACATCTTATTGATTTTTTGATTTAATGCTTTTAATGGTCTGTCTTTCTGATTTCTTTTGTTAGGTTCACATGGTCTATTGGTATTTTCAATGTACTCACGCACTATGGCAAATATATGCGCAAGTAAAAATTTGCGCAAATAAATGCGGTACAATTTGTTCTTTCGTTCTTATTTAGCATTTTTTTGCAGACAGAGTTTTTACTTTCTGACTTCTCTTTAATTATCCATTATTCTGAGGTTTTTCTTAGACTTCTCTTTATTTTTATCTGGCTTGATTTCGTAATTTTCGCGCATATCCCACATGGCCTTTCCTCTCGCGGGAGATGGACAGCGCTCTGTTAACCGTATTTCCCGTGATGCGGCACGGTAACTCTCGACACGTGCGAGCCGAGGGTGCAGCTCAGCAACGGAAAAAGAAAATGATCGATGCTCGGCTTAAGCCAAGAGTTACATCGAAAGCCTTTCTCTCCCCGACATTTTCCTCGGATTAGTTTCTGCGAAGGTTAACGCCTGCCTCGTTACTTTAAGCAATCGCAGCAGAGCTGTGGAGTGTCTCCGCAGCTAAATCTTCCGACGTTGTCAACGCTACGGATAGAACAGACCGTATAGAGTTCAAAGTTAATCCGCGAGAAAGCCCTTCGTGTCTAACGAGCATCTGCTTTCATTGTGTCTTGGCTTTTTTCTAATTGCGCAATAGGTGGTAATTAGTAAATGCTAATTAAGCGTATCATGTATTTTTGTCACGGCTTTTTGCACTCGAGCGCAAGCCGGATCAAAAGGAGACGGGAGAGAGTCGGATGTTAGGCTTCTCGAGTATGTCCCTCGCACGAATTCTTTGCCACACGACGCGAAGTGCATGTTGGGCGCCAGACGCGGAAAATCGCGCCCACCAAATAGAGCGACTCGTCAAAGATTTAATTCACCAAAACGTTAATAAATTACTCGCGGCAACTCGACGGAGATTATTCGTGCCGACCAGCTCGATCAAACGGTAGAGGGGCAGGGCAAGGCGAGGCAGCGCAAGAGGACGACGGGGTGACGGCGAAATAATTCGTCAGACAGCGTAATATAATAAAAATGATGTACGGTTTATTAACAATATTTGAAGTAATTCGCGGGATAATAATAAGAACGATTGAGGCAGTTGCCCCAGTCTATTAAACTGTAATCAAGTTTGTTCACAAGATGCTAAAGAACGAGTTGCGTATGAAAACGCGAAGTAATATCAAACGCGAATATCACGCCAAACAATGTCGAAGCGCGAATAATACGCGACAACGGATAACGCAAAATTAAGTGAGAAGTTTAATTTAATCTAATAATTGTTTTGGATCATTACGACACTAATAAGAGAAGATAAAGAATGAGACCGCTAATATTCGCGAGGCTCTCTTACAATTAAAACGTAAACTCTATGGATGATGCAGCAAAGACTATATCGCATCTTTGCGATCGCGCTTTTCACAGTTTCGCACCACCCTTCGAGGGAAGTCTGCAATGAAATGTGTGATATTGTTAGATTTGCCGTATGTAGATTTTATAAGTATTTTTAAATATGTACTTACTCATTTCTCCAGTTGGGATGGTGTTCTGTTACATGTTTTGTCAACTTCCGAGCATGGTTTTTATTATACATTTTGTTTATGCGCCCACACAATCTGCACATTGCCGTACCCCGTGAAATGGTGTAACATCTGCGTATTTTATAAGGTGCCCTATTTCTATAAGGTGTTTCGAATCTAGGTGGCGTTTCATTTTTAATAACATTGAAGAGTTGTTCTCATGAATGTTTTGTTGAATAGGTTTTACTCGATGGGTAAAATATATTATTATCTTATATTGATAAAGTTGTCAATTTACATTGCTTATCATGGTGAAAAATGATGCCGCGGATGACACCATCTAAAACATGACGTCTTATCATTTGCGAAATGATTACTCAACAGATAAGTTATGTTTTGCATGTAACAGACGTACGTACAGATGCGAATGTTTGCAAGGATAACGGTATGATGGAGCCGGCGGTCAGCTGCGCTGGTTTCTGAGATCTCATTGTGATAATATGTAGAGATTTTTTTAGTTGATACGGGAAACGATACCATGGCGTGAAGTATATCGCTCTTGCTACGTCTTGGCTCTGAAACATAATCCAATAGCATTAATTGTAAAGAATTAATAAAATGTAAATATACATGTAAAAGGGTGTCACGCGAAAAAGGATTATGAGTAGGGTCCGAACATTTGGGCACGGAGACCTTGAGACGGGCCGAGAACAATTAGTTATTTGATTAGTAATCTTAATATGATTAGTTAAACATATTTCCTTATATTATATTTCAATTTTTTAACTTGATATAAATTCCTACTTTGAAAGGTAATAAGTATGACTGTGATTGATCTGTACTTTCAGTAACGTTTTGTTCCTGTTTTTAATAATTAAACTTATATCATCGTCCAGAGATTTTATAGATAATCCGTATTTTTCCAGGTTCTTTTCTAAAAAATTTATCTGATGATTTTTTTTGTGTAATGTGGTTGATTTGAAAGTGGGAAGAAATTTTTCTTCCTCGCACTCAAAAGCGTTTTTCGAAACATCAACTCTAAGTTACCACATTCCGCGTGTGTTCAGGAGAGAGAGCGGTATCCTTTAATGATGGATATGTACGTGAACGTGAACGTCGTTATTTTTTTTTGCTCCTCAAGCTTCTTTATTTGTTCATTTTTTTGAGCTATTTCGTTTTGTAACTGCTCAATTACATCCTCTTTGTTACTATTTTCATTTTTTTTTGGTTTAACATTTCTTCTTCTTCTTTGATGTGCTTTTTATCGACAAGTTTGTTTCATTAATTTATATCATATTTTTTTCAGTTTTTATCGAACCTTTTTTTATACATTTTAAAATTATTGAAATTTAATATCTAATTGTATATTTTTTTAACATACCTCGGTGAGAAGAACGTTCGCCGCCCAGTTACACAAAAACAGTTGAATTATTGCAATTAACAGTTGTGTTGTATATTTAAATTTATCAGGATCATCCTGTAATATTGGTACACAGGTGGTAATTGTTGAAATATTTATATAGAATGTGCAAACCAATTCATTTACCATGTATTTTTACTATTGTCAATTACACTAATTAAATCAACTAAACGATGACAGATATAACAAAAAAATTCAATAGATTTGACAAGATTCACTTTTATATTTAATAAATAGAAAATTAAAATTTCTCTTTAATTTTAGGTTCTAAAACATTGGAATCTGTTTTTTAGATAAATCAAAAGTTTTGTAAGAGGAAAAGTTTAGGCCTATTTTGAACGTATAATATTTCAAAATTGTAAGGCGAAATGATTGGTATATATATATATAATGTATAAACGAAAGGATAACTTGAACTCTTACCCCCGCTAGTTTAAATCCCACGAGAGAGACGTTGTATGTACTGCCGACCAGTTGCGTCAAAAAGATGCTGTTGGTTAGATTCTCGACTTCTTTGCAAAGTCTATGGGATTTGAAAAATGTCACAGATTTGTTGATTAATCACTCTATTTTTGCAAACGAGGAATTTTTAACCATTTGAAAAAATCTTCTCGGCAAAGATTAATTACTATTTTTTTCTTTAAAGAAAAACCTCTTCTCTCTTTACTTACTCGAGCATCGTCTGATGATAGCACACGCAGGCTTTGAGATTAAATTTCGCACGATTTTTTGGTATGTCGTTCTCACGCGTTATTTTGTGCGACTCATGAGTGGCAGTTGAACACGATTTTTCTGAATATACGCGGTCGCGATCGCTTAGATGTAAAATTCGCGTGTTAAGAACCTTGAAGTGGCCGCAAACGGTCAAGACGAGCACCGGTCCGACCGTGTCCGCACCGGCGCAGGTGAGACCGACGTTTATCATGCTGCACAATTGCACGATATACATTATTTCGTAATAAGGCGACCGATGGACTTCCACCGGACAAGCGTACGGTAGGGTTCTCATCGTCGCGTTCGACGAGTCGTCGTGCTGTCCCATGAAGAGACTCGCCACGGCGTAAAAGAATATCGTGAACGCGCATCCGAATAGATAGTAGTAAGTCAAATGTCTCGTCGTTTTCACGTAATCGCAGACGTGTTTTTTCTCGGTCGCGTTCAACGCTGCCCAGAGTTCCTCGCAGATTATCAGCAATCGCTGAAATCTACTCCGAAATAAGAGGACAATCGTGAATCGCGCCTGCCCGCCCACGAGGGAGAGTATCATCGCGAATGATTCCATCCAGGTTTCGAGGTAGACGGTACGCAACGCGAATTCATACGTGTACAAGCCCGCATATGCGAACAGACAACCGTATGCGATCGCGCCGAGGATATTCTGCGAGCTCGATCGGCGGATACTCCCGTTCTCGTAGGACACCACGCCGGAGAGTCTCAGAAGCGCGATATTCACGCGGATGACACTCGCGAACGAATCGTCCGATGCCATTTTAACCGGGAATCGTCGAGTGACGAACAGACGAATACAATAGATACAAGGACTCGAATCTCGATGGTGATCGAATCGCAGTGAAATTATGCCTGTTTGCCGCTCGGAAATCGCGAGTCATCGGACCCCGTGAGCCTTGGTGGGTATCGCCTATAGAATTTGCGAGGAGCCTATGGGATTTGCGCCTGCGCGTCTCGAGCGTGGACACGAAATAGCGCGTGCTCTGCTATTACTTGCGAAATAATTAATTATTCTCGTGGCGGACAGTGTTCTCCGCGAATTTGCCGGCGAACTTTTGCCGACAGAAGTCTTGGCGACCGAGCGTGTCGAATGAATAATTGACATTTGTCTTGGAGCTAAGAGTGAAGTTGCGATGGCGTGACGATGCAGCGTGCAATTCTCTTCGGACAGACGGGTATTACACTAAACACAGGTTTTCCTATGTTTTTTCTTTTCTCGCGTGGAATTAAGAAAGACTGTCGCTGCGCTTAAAACAAAATTCACAAAATTGCGTTACCTAACTCAACCCAAGTGATATGTATTTCAAAAAAAGATTTATAGTAGATATAATAAATACTTACCTAATAGTTTCTCTTCGTTGCCCATTTATGTTATTATTGTTGCGGGGTTATGTCTTTGGAAAACTGGGTGATATTCGTCAATTTATACTGCTTGAACTTCGTCTTCGGTCGGCTATTTTCTCCCATCCTTATTCTTTTTAAAGTATTGTGCAAATTTTTTTTTATAATAGTTTTTTGTTTGTCAGTCCAAAGACCGTCTCACCGCTCCTCCGCCTTTTCTCTCCATCCCGTCGTGCTCAATCTCATCCTCTGCCGCTCCGGCGCCTCCACGCCGTTACGCCTGTCAGGTAGGCACCCCCGACTTCTTCTCCTTTTCTTTCTCTCTAGTCTTTACTCGTCTTGAACCATGTTTTTCTCTTCGCAGCCTCTTTGAAGGTCATGCCTCTGTACGATCAGTTAAAGGGTTGAAACATCCTTCACTCCCTGATTTTTGCATATACACCGGGATAAGCTCTCGCTGCGTGTGCTGACCTTTCATTGTTGAGGTGGGCCAGCTTCGTTACGGTCTCCAGCTGACACGATCGTTTTCGTAATTAGAATTTCCATTTCCACGATCTTACTCACTCACCGTGTTGTTACTTCTTTCATGTTCGTAGAAGCCGATTTAATTTAATTAATTAAATTGGTATCATTTTATTACAATCCTGTTCGAGAGCGCGCGGTAGCGCGAGATAGCGCGAGGTGAAAGACGACCACAAAAAACGACGCAGCGAGTAACACAAAAAATAATGTCTATAATTGCAAAATGAAATATATACAGGTATTTACAAAGGTGTACAGAGTTCCTTGTATTTTTAGCACAAGCAACGAACCGAGAGCGCGTACTGAAGCTATACGGCAACGCGACGCAAGCAAGCGAGCACGAATTTGCGGTAAAGGCGGTGTAACAGCGGTCGTGTACGAAAAGCGGTTTAAGCGGTGATCTGCAAGCGAAATCGGTTCCGCGGCGCAGCGGCGGTCCTTTATCGTCTCGGAGACGAGCCTCCCTCCAAGCTAATTGCCGATGATTTCAGGGAGGTGATTGGCCACCGACGGCCTACGTCACCGTGCATACGTCACAGTGCCAAGTGGCGATTCGAACCGGTCGTTACATATTTTCGAATGCGTTGTTTATAGCATGGATCTTTCCTTTGTGTGAGCGCAGATGAGTCGTATGGACTGTCGAACAAAGCTTGACCTTATTATTGAAAACAATGTTAAAGTCAGAATGCTAATCACGAAAGATCCATGCTATACTGAATATTACCGAGACAATTCTTTAGCGACATTTGACGCGAATATTAATTCTCGCAAGCGTGCATGCGCTGATATTCAGCCGAACGTAATTGCTTCGCGATGATGATTATTGCGATCTCAAACAAATACTAAAATTTCAGTGCATTGCGGTGCACATCGAGCTCCAATCTCTCAGATATCTGCTGTTTCTGTAATTTCCAAGTATGCAAGATGCTTCCGCGACGATAAGCATTTGATTTTGCTGTGTCAGCATCTATATTGCGTGTATAGATGTATAGTTTCACAACTGGCGTTCTTTAGCTTTTTTTTCCTGGCTGCTTCCTCTGCTGTCTGAAAAGTGTTGATTAAGCAGTGACAAGGATACCTGAAATTGTTTTCTAATTTTTTCAAGTTCCTCACGTCTGCTGTGAGCA